CAGGAAAACATGTAGAAAAATGGAAAGCAAAGACGTTCAGTGACATTGAAAAATACTCATGGAAACTGGTGAGACAGACTCTGCAACTATTAGCATAGTCCAGGGATGCACACAAAGTCAGTATAATTCTCATTTTTCATTCACCTTGAAGCAGGTTGAAGGCAAAAAGGGGATGTAGGTGGATATTGTTTTGAAATTGTTTTCCAATCTCTATTAGAGTGAGAAACTTACTCCACATATAAACAAAAATCCCAAACCAAAAGAGGAAGAACAACCAGCAGACCAGGCTTGGGTATCTGCTGTCAGATCCAAGCTACCAGCTTGGTATATGCTATCCATATGCTGGGGGTTTTGTGTCCTGTTTTTTCATATGTGTGAACTGTGGGAGTTTTGAGGCAAGAGAAAAATAAGTCTAAAAATAAAATATTTCTCCTTTAATTTGGAACCTTGACAACATAGAAAGGAGAATTTCAGTAAATCAAAGTTTTTATAATCCCTGCTGCTTTTCCAGGTTGTTCTCCAATACTCTTGTAAATGTCAAGAGGTTCTGAATATGCCTAAAATAAAAATGCTGAAAATATGCAGGGTTTTAATATGTTTCTACAGCAGGTGCAACAATGGCAATGGCCTTGTGAAACTTCTTGCTCTATGATGTTCCTGTCTACTCTTTGTATATGAAAGAGCACATGTATCTGTCTCCTATTGTATTCAGCCAAGGATGCTGCTTGGTGCTGACATCTCTGTTATTAATAGACTTCTCTCTGGCAACCACTGATAGCTGTAATGCTGTACTTAATGTAAAGTACTAGGCTTGCCAGTTTTTTAATGTTTGACTTGGCTGGGTATTTGTAATCATGGGGAGTAGACAAGGACAGGCAGTGAAAAGTGGAGTTATTCTTGTTCCACTGTGTCTATGGGCTTTAGAAATATACAGTGAATTATATGATGATGGGCAAGTGGTAAATCAGGCTGTAGCTGTTGGGTAGGAATAGTGCTTCAGCTCATCACTTCTCCTGTAAACAGCAGTGACAGCTATGAGGTACAGAATACTTAATCCCATATTCCATCTGCTACTTTATTTGTGAACTCTCTTTTGCTACTTCTCATTTCCTCTCTGGCATTTTATGCTTATTTAATTTCAGATTTTTAATTTGGATCAGTCCTTCTTGATCTCTCCATGTTTCACTGGGCTATAGATGCCTTCAAAGAAAACGGCCAGGAGATCTCTTCATTCTTAAGGGTGTAATTTATTAAACACAGAAGCTGGTGTAAAAATCTGCAGAAAAGACTATTCATTCTTTATAAGCCTTAAAGTCTTCATCTGAAATTTGTCCCAGAAACTGACTGAGAACAGCAAGCTAATCCTGGTGATTCACCAGTTTCATAAGCCTAACTTGGCTCCCACTGGACAGCTGATTGAAATGGTATTTCTTATATAGTGACAGTATTGTGGAAATTACTGTGTGGAATCAGTATATGATTTGTTCAATTCTATATCTTAGTGGAAAATACAAATGTGCTTCAAAAAGTGCCATAAAATACATACTAAAAGAAAATGTTAGTTAGGGATCATGACTCAGAATTCTGAGTTGGATTTCTTTACTTTTTAATGAAATTATATGGTAGAAGAATGGGATTTTTTTACTTTTAAAAGCCTTTAATACCATTAAAATGTCTAGATTATTATTTTAAAGGTATGGTTTGGTTTTGATGCCAGAAATTTTTGTTATAAATCACATAGAAACATCATCTAGGCCTCAGTACTTAGCATTATTTTAAACTACCATTGATACTGCAAATGATTATTTGAAATGGCTTAAGTCGTGATAACAAAATAGTTAATCCACTGTATGTACTCTAAAGATGTGTGCTGCTCTATTGCTTATAATTGTTATAAAAACATTTGAATGACTTTGGCTCATTAAACTAATTTAATTGGAATAACTCAATATCCTGGATAGAGAGAAATGAATTAAATAATATTTAGCTGAAACAGAGGGGAGTACTTAATCACCAAATACATGGTTTATCAAAATTTAGCAGCGAACAAGGAATAGAGTTTCAGCTTAATTTAAAAAAGCAAGTTACGAATTAGAGTCACCAGTAGTTTAATGAGGTGAAGAAAGTAAGGGAGGATCCTCTTCTAATTCCTGATCTTGCAAAGGCTTCTGTTGAACTTTATGCAATAGTTAATAAAAACCATATTGTATTCTCATATAAATTTATGTAGAAATCTAGTGTACTATGGGCGTTCATTTTTAATCATGTAAAATAATGGGACCTACAGTACGTTTTCAGTTATTGAATAAATTTGTTCTACATTCTCTTAGTCTTGATGTATGGTATTTTTATTGTATTACATTGTATCAATTTTTAAAACCCCACAATTTTAAAAGGTTTTTTTTATATAAAAAGAGTAAAAACTACTTCTGGCAGGCTGTGCAAAGTAAATCCTAGTACAAATAACATAACAAGGAAGGATACACACCAGCTGAATAATTGATGGTATGATTGTGAAACTTCTCTTGTTCCGCAGGAGTAATCCTATAGTTTTAGAATGCTCTCTAGTAGAAGTAATAGAATTCAAGTAATTCTAAACTTCGTAATCTTGCCCTCAAGGATCATGTTTTCAGTATTACTTACTAGAAGCCTGTACCGTGGGAAGGCATTGGCGAAGTCTATGACTAGGTAGCTGAAGCTAAAAGGTCAAATAATTCCTCAGTTTAGTATGGATGATGCCTGCATCTGCAGACAGTGTAACAGTCTGGGAGTTTACAAAAGTTAGACAACTCCTCTATCCAGCTTGAAGGGTTTTTTTGGTTGGGGTTTTTTTTTTTTTTTCTTTTTACCAGAACAGTACCACATAAAACTAGCAAGAAAAAAGAACCTTGGAAGTGTTGATAATTTTAAATCCTAGGGGAGTTATGTATATATATATATTATCTTTGCTTCCTGCTGTAAGTTTTTGCTGAAGTAGAATAACTGAATGGATAGATACGTAAGAATCAAGCATTGTTTCTATCAGTCTGTTACACACTGAATTCCCAGTAAGAGCCATGGATATCCTGAAGGACTGTGTTCCTGATAATAAAAATTTAGAGTAGCATGAAGCTATGCAGCAAAATCATTATTGTATGTCATTTTTTTCAGAAATAATCAGACACTGTCCAAGTGGGTGATGAAAAGAATAGCTGTTTCCATAGAGAAAACAGATAGTTCTGATTTTTTTCAGTAAATTTTTTTTGTTCAGCTGTTCCCTCTGTGATGTTCAATAGATATAGATTAATTTATTGTTACAGATAATTAAAATCAACTAACTTTGTCAACCCACCAGTCTTTGCTTGCAGGTACTCAAAAAACACTGATAGTTTTCTTGACTTCCAATTTATACATAGCTAATAAGCCATGTGTGTGGATCTTTTTTGTACTTTAGCTTGCCTGAAAGCAGTTTATTTCAAGTAGTCACAACATAAAATTATCCTCGCCCAGACAGACTTTGTTGAAAGATGAATCAAAGATTTGAAGTCTTTCTGAAGCTGTGTTAGTTTTAGTGATCTGAAGGCTATCTTATTTTCTGTTCACTCTAGGATTAAAACTATTTGACTGCAAACATAAAACATTCAGAGTATGTGCTGGACCTCGGTTCTGAATCAAATTTGCCAAACATTTTACAAAAATGTGTTTTAATGTACTCATGACATTTGCTGTTTTAGTGATGATGTATGACTAAATAGTAATAACTGCTCCTCTTAAATAAAGAGAGCAAACTGCTTTGCAAACGTGTCTTATCTTAAATGTCATTAATATGCAAATATTAATGTAATGTGTTCACAGTTTATACAACTGTGGTTGACCATATTTGTCTGGGAATTCTAACACTTAGAAGGATAATTTTAAGCAAAGTGAAATTTTATTTATGTATTTAATTGCACAAATACTCTTGTACCTTTTGTACAAGAATTTTAAAAAGTAATAGCGTCAAATAGTGATTACAGATTAAAAGAAGCTTGGTGAGGGAACTAATTCAATTAAAGTTCGATGTTGTAATGCATTATGGTGTTTAGAGCACAAGTTTGTTCTCTTTGTTTTTTCCAAAACTTCTAAGATCCTTATGACAGCAATATGCCCTCTCCCAGCATCCACATTCTAAGTTCTGGTCAGCACTGCATAATATAAGCCTCAGCAGAACAATGTGGCCATTTGAAATTTTTTGTGCCAGACTCTTTTAAAAGTTTATCTTTCACAATATCAACACCTCATGACTTCACTGGTACTTAAAATTGCATTTTACATCAGAAAACTGGACTCAGATGTAAGAGAAATGGAGAATGTAAGAGAAAACCTTGGTTTTAAGTTTACATATCCTAACAGGAAGTATTAGATGTTGTGCGGAAGCAAGTAAAAATCAAAGCATAGCTGTATAAAGATTGCAATGGCGAAGTATTGCAGCTGTTCTCTGGGACAGGAACACATGGGATCATGGGATACAACTCAAGTACATATGCAATTATGTAAGGATATTTCATGGTGAATAAGATGTCAGAAAATGATCTGTGGGATGATCTACAAGTATCCAATCCTTCACCCTTCCTGTAATTTTTTGTGTGTTTTAAAAGACAATCTACAGAGCAAAGAAAATGTAAATTGAACTGTCAACCTCCAAGCCAATTATTGTTGATTGAAAATGAAAATAATTGTGGTAATGCATTTTTTTTTAAAGAAGTTCCTTATTCCTCTACTTGAAGAAGTTGATAAATACTGTCTAGAAAATCACTAAATGAAAATTATGAGAATAGAATTACAAACACATGATATTTACATTATATGACTTGGTTATAGTGCAGACCTCTGCGTGTTTTAATCTCATTTTGAAACTCACAAGATGATCATGGTATGTGAAGAGTTGAAAGAGGTCAACTGGATTGTTAAGGTCAACCACAAAAATGCTTTGTATATTTTAGATTCTCAATTTATTTTTAATATCTTTTTTTTTTCTATAGGGATGCTCTCTGCTTCTTTACTAGTTTATTTGCTTTCAGCATTACTCATTCATTTCACATCTGGAGAAACAGAAGTGAAGTTCAGTGGACAAACAGAATTTGTAGTCAATGAAACAAGTACAACTGTTATACGTCTTGTAATTGAAAGGACAGGAAAGCCTGCTAACATCACAGCAATTGTGTCGGTAAGAAACCATGGCAGTAATATTCTCAGTAACTGTTCATAACTTTTTAGAGAGCTTTTTGGGACTCAGATACATGGAGAGTTGCGACTGTGACTGATAAGAGAGACAAATGAGACTCACAAAATCCCCGTTGTTTCCTCTTCTCTGAACTTCTAATTTCACTGTTCTGAAAGGAAGAAATATTTTTCACAATGGTTCTTTCAAGCCTTTAACTTCTAGGAAGGATGATTCAGGTGTGACAGCTATGCTGGTTCAGTGGCTTCTCTCCATTTAGTCTCAGTGCCCAACTGTAAACTTAGTCTAGACCCTTTGCTATTTTTACATGACTACCTTTTTAATCTCTCCTCTAATCACCTCACTTACAGTAGAATCAGGGGAATTTTCTTATGTTGACTGAGATGAAAGGAGGGAGTTTCTTATTAGAAGACAATCTTGCTAGCTTTGGTGATCAAATTGTTTATCTAGGTTGAATGCCTAGACTCCTTCCAGTGCTTAGAATGGAAGGCAGAAGGCAGTTGCATCCTAAGGTAAGTTTAATTCATATAGAATATTATGAGTTGTACAGATCTGTGCTTCCTGTACTGGCATTTTCAATAAAAAGCTATTCATATGGTACATTATGCAGAAGAGGAAGTCATAAATGGTTCTGAAGAAAATGTTCTGTTTATTTTATTGGGTTTTTTTTTTCACCTGCTTACTCAGTGTGAGTCTGTTTGAATGAGTCTAGAATAATAATATAGAACATATTGAAGGAAGAAGGAGATGGCATTTGGTTGTGTGTTCATTGCAGATTGATGGAGAAAACACAGGAGACTTTTTTGACACATATGCAGCTGCATTTATACCTGATACAGAAACAAACCGAACAGTATATATATCTGTCTGTGATGATGATCTTCCAGAGGCTGATGAGACATTCATATTTCACTTGACACTACTGGTAAGTCTCAATTTTTCAATGTATCTCTTCCACAGAAAACAGTGATATATAGGTGAATGGTATTTCATAGATTTCAGTGTAGTCCTACTACTTGTGAACAGTAATAGTTAAGAACTAAAATCTGTAGTCCAAGCAGGATGAAGCTTATTGGCCTTCAGAAATTTGCATTTCTACGGATGTCTCTGTGTCATGTTGCTGTGCCTGACACTTGAGCAGGCATTGCATTTAGCTGTGGACATTTGAAGGTATACTAGAGCCCAGAAGAGTTAGATTGTGAAGACTCGGCCTTTGCTTTTCTCCTGCCAAGAATGTTCATGGAAGAGATGGTGGAAGTAGCAGAAAAAGAGGATGACTTCCAGTCCTCTGCAGGGGTTAAATGTGACTCATCTCAACCCAAGCAATTTTATAAGTATTTACCAATAAATTTCTTTATATTGATCTCTTTCACAGGAGTTATGCTACGAGACAGGGGTTCACATTCATATATTTTTAGCTAACAGTTCATGACTAAGTAAGATGTCAATTCAGTAAAAATAAATTTTCTATTTGTTTGCCAGTATTACACGTGTATGGGGATATGTGCAATGAGTATACAAATGCCTATTTTCCCTTCTTTCTTACTCTGACTTGTAAATGTAGCTCAATTTCACAATGCTACAGGGACTTGCTTCTTATAGCTGCTATCTCTGTATATCCTTTAGCTGGTATCCTACTACAATAGCTTCAAAGTTTCATTTTTATCCAAATGTGAGGGAAAAAAGAACAACTTTGGAATTCCTGGAAATGTTAAATGTTTCATTCATGGTTTTATGTTGATATACTGTTAATGATTGTTAAATTATTGTTAATCTTTTACAAAGTTTGTTTCAAGCACTTTACTGTTGACTGTTTACAGTGTATTTCCACAGTAATTAGGAATAATCTTAGTGCATTCTATTGCTTTAAACAACTTTCATTGTGATATATAATAAAAATACTTACTTTTTTTGTAAGCTAATATTAACTCTTAAGAGACAGTAAAACCAAAATGCCTTTTTTCCCCCCATCACTGTACTTAATACCTTATTTTGGTTTTAATTTTAGAAACCATCTGCAAGGATAAAACTTGGCTCACCCAAATCTGTCACTGTAACAATCTTATCAAATGACAATGCCTTTGGAATAATTTCTTTTAACATGGTATGACTTTTTATATTATATGTTTTAGAATATTTTGGAAAACGTAAAGATGAAATTGTCAAAGATGCTGGTTAATTATTTGCCCAAATCCCTTGAAAACCGATTCTGAGTTACAGCTCTGAAAACATCTTAAGATAATTCATACATATGTATGCAAACATACATACAGCTTTAATATTTGTAATACTTTTAGGTTTTGAGATGCTGCTTGGGATCCTCAAACTTGGATGAATATCTATGTTGCTCATCTAAATATAAAGCTTTTAGAAACTGTTTGGTCCAACTGCCCCTCAATATACTATGGAAGAAATGAGGAGTATTACCATAGGAAGGTTAAAGAGGTGGCTTTAATTTTAAGAATATATACCTTTTTCCCATCTTACAGAGCAATTTTATATTTAACTCTCAAGCTGTAAGAGCAGCATCATGATATATGCATGATATAACACCTTCTGGGGGTAAGAGTAGTGTGACTCTGGTGGTATGGAGGATATTTGCAATAGTACAAAGTTTGTGGTAGCAGAAAGAGAAACTATGCTTTATTGCTAGCATTGTGACACTATCGAAGACCTTTTAGAAGACTTTCCTGAAAAAAATCCAATATGAAAGATTTTTAGCACCACAATATTAAACCATGCTGCTCCCTGAAGAGCTGTAAGTCTTTGAAATCCGTCAGCTGTAACAGTTTGATAGACAGAGTCCATTGTCTCGTTATCTAATAAATGAGTTTTAAATGGAGAAAACCTATTTTTAATAGGGTTAGGAACTCCTATAAATATGACTAGTGCTCATATGCCACTGCTTAGTATATCGTAACTGCTCATTTACAAAAAAAACCCCAAACCAACAAAAGCCAAGAAAACCCACTTTACATACCTTATGATAATTTTTTAATCTCAAACCTTTCAAGCTTTTTATTAGTGGAACTAATTGGTTACTAGGAAATGTAGGCCATCAGCAGACTGGTTTGCAGATTGAATTAACTTGTCTGTGGGAGTTTGGTATTTCTATGGTAACAGTTCCTTCTGCTGTGATATTTGATCTGTGCCTGATTGCCTGTCCATTTTCTTCCTCATTAGTCTGCTTTAATCACAGTGAATGAGCCTAGGGGCAGAAATGAATTTCTGCATCTCACTCTAATTAGGGAGAGAGGAACCTACGGGACGGTCGTTGTAACTTTTGAGGTGAGTTTATCAAAAAGGCTTAATACTTTGGTCTTTAGATGAAGCTGTGAAGCCATAATCATAACTTATCGAAGTGTTTATTGAAGTGAAAGGAGTAAATAGCTATATCTACATTTGTTAATTCTGTTTCATAAAATGGAAATATACTGTCTTTCAAGTGGAAAAGATTGCAATTTTCTAACTGCTTAACTTAGGAAAAATAAAGATATATTAAAAAAATTAGTTTTCTCTGTCATTTAGGAAGATATTTGAAGCAGCATTTGTTAGTATTATTAGCAAATTATGTCTATTGAGTGTGCAAGAAATTTCTTGTATATTTTTCAAGATTTATAAACACCTGACTCTTTTGAAGGTGCTTGTGCCACCTTCAAACATGTAAATGTAGAGCACAATATTTTATGAAATTCTCTACCTATAAGACTGCAGTTTGAATCTCCAGACATTTCAACCTTTCAAAATCATTATTTGAATATTTAGGCCATTACTCATATACTTCATATAAATGGGATATACTTACTGCCTTTATTGTGAGAGGGTGGATTTTTTTTTTCCTTGTCTAGTTCTGATTCTATTACCTTCTTTAAATTTACAGGTAATTCTTTTTCATATCAAAAATTCCTTTATCAGCTGTCATGAAAGGTGTAATCTACATGTGTCAAAATCTCAAAAGATTTGTACTGGATTTTATTGTATGCTAAATGCAGCATGTATAGATATTGTTCAGAGATTCTTTATGCTATTTATTGCAGATATGTTTTTTTTTAAATCCAGTATATTTTGCTATCTGCACAATTTATCAGGTTAATTTCAAAATGTAGTTTATATACATATGTTGAAAAAAATTTACCAGATTTTCTAAAACAAAACCCTAACATATTGGCTCTGTAGGTCATACTATTTTTTAGGTTTTAATATTACAATTTCCTTAGTATCACAAGTCAAGGTAGAAAGGTCACAAAATGAGTAATTGCTATTATCTTGTCTTGGAACTGATTAGGAAATATTAGATAATTGAAAGAGAAGGACTATCCTTTCTGTTATTTAAGAGTCACTTATGCATCAGTAGATACCAAAGGATTCTCAAAGGCCTGTATGGAAGTAGTTTTCTTCGTCTTTCTCTAGCAATCAGAGTTTCTTCAGAGTGCCTACTCTGATTTACTCTATCTGTCAAAAAAGAGTAGATTTTCTCAACTAAATATGTGTACATATGATCAGGAGGTGACTGAATAAATAGCAATTTGTTAAGTATTTCACGCACTGTATATTGACTATTGTACTAGATTTTTTATGCATGCTCTATGTATTTCTTATCATAAAAATCAATTATTTGCAGATAGAAGATGGACCAAACTCAGCTGAAGAAGACTTAAGTCCAGCCAGAGGAAATATTACATTTACCCCTGGGAGATCAGTGTTAATTTATAATTTAACTGTGCTTGATGATCAGGTAAAAACAAGCTGACATTTTTGGTTTGGATGTATAAATTTACTGCTGTTCTGGAGGGACTTCGTATATTATGCTATAAAAATTCTTGGTTTAAACAGGGCTACAAGTCCTTCTGCTTCATAAAGTGATATTCAGTTTTGTCTCTGTGGTCTATCATTTTATCTTTTTAATACCTATCTTTTTTTACCTCTGTATTTCTCATTATTCTCATTATTCTCATTATTCTCATGATTCTCATTCTCAAAATTAATATTTTTAGTTTCTGAACATACCGTGACTGCTCTGACTAGATCTGTTAGGTGTTGTACAGTAAAAGTATAAATAATCAAGATAGCATTATATTTTTATTCAGATGAAATAGTGAGGTGCTTGTATTGTCAAGGATTATGTTCTTTAACCAGATACAGGTTCAGCTATTAGAGTGACCTTTCTATATTTAACTTTTCTGTGTGAACATGTTACTGAACAACTTGATAAAGAAATTCACTAAGAGAATTACGTAGGGGGAAAAAAGTCTGTGTCAAAAATGGGAAATTTTAATGCAATTCTTTTTCATATTTCTGTTAATTATGGAAAATAGTCTCCCAAGTCTAAACTGATACTGGTATTAAGAGACTTTGCCAAACTGCTGTGTAGAAATATCTCTTTCAGATTAGATGCATTATTTCTGTAACTTATATATGAAAAGAATTCATTAGGTTTGTGAGGAGGATGTGATTTGCTTTTCCTCTGACAGATACTCTTAATGCTCTTTCACTTAAAGTTTGATCTGTATAGCTATGGTGGCCCACTCACTGGAAGTCTTCCACGGCTGTACACAAAAGGTTAATTTTGTGTAAAAATCCTTTACTGGTGATGATGATGATGGAATGCACACACATTCAGTGTTACTCTCAGAACTTAATTTGAGCTGTTAAGATCTGAAGTTAAGAAAAACTGTAACAGCTATTGTTCTGAATTGCAAAGCTTTTTATCTTCAAAAATTAGATGAGTGTAGCTCTGATCTCTACAATAGTACATTTATAGTAATTTTATTGTGTACATTTCCTTTTTTAGTGAGGAACAATGGAACAGTTTGAACAGAAAATGAAAGAGGCAAATCAGGACTGAAAATCTTTTATATTGCTGTCTTTGAAGTCTGGTCAATAATTGGTCAATAATGATGCCAATAAGAATTCAAAAATGTCCTGTTTATATGAAATGTTAAGATGTAAACTATAGCTAAAGTTGTGGATACATTTTGACGTTCTTAAATGTATATTTTAAATGATGCCAGATGGAATATCAGTTAGTCAACTAAATGAAATATAAGTTAGCATTTTTTTATTGAGGTAGATCAACTGTATTGTTCTTCAGTATAGGAAGTTCGTGACTGAGATCTTCTAGATCTCGCACTGACAACAAACCCTCATATCAGTGAATGGCATTATGCATGTTTCAGTGCCATAAGCCAAAGGAACTGAATTAGCATAAGCTATCATGCCCACTCTTCTAGCCCTAGAAAAGGATCTGAGGATGGTCAATAAACAAATTAATGTGAAAGAGAAAGAAATATTGGACAGCAGCAGGATTTTCAGAAATTGAAATTTTGTCCTGAAATTCCTCTCAGAAGCAAATACTACCAGTTTCCAGTAGTTCAGAGTAAGGATGAAATGCAAAGGTTGCAAATAATTTTTAGAGGTTTACTTTTTATCTATTTGTATTAATAAAATAATAATATTTTTCCAGTTCCATAAGTGCAACTTCTCAGGATTTGGGGAATAAAATATAGAATCATAGAATCATATAAAATGTTGAGTTGAAAGGAACCTATTAGGATCATCAAGTCTAACTCCTGGATCTGCACAGGATACCCAGGATTTTGGATCACACCAATTTTTGTCCATATATATATTTATATGGTGATATAAAGCAGAAATCTCATTCTTAATCCTGTAATTCGTGTTTTATAAGCTATTCTTTATTGTCTCCTGCATCAGACATTGGAGAAGAAATAGCTAGAACTAAAATGTAGTTTTAAACACTTGTTTTGTAGAAATACCAACATCTAAATTTTTGCTAAGAACGAGCAAACACTTTCTCTGATCTGTGATGGAAATTTTGTCCGGGTTTTTGGGTGTGTCTGAACAAAGGATTCCAATTGTATAGGGATAGATGGGCCAAGATACATAGGTAACGTATAGAGATAGATCAGAATCAACATCAGAAGAAAGAAAATTCAAATGTAAGTAATGGAGAAGAACACTTGTTTCCAAGTAAAGCTAGCTTTCAAAAATGGCAGTTGGTCTCATACTCTCAAGGTGTAAAGATGAAGATTTTTCTGATTCTTGATTAATTTTTATATGTGTTTTTTGTTTGACTTTCTACCCTCTTTCAGAAGTATGTTATGGGAAATAGAGACATTAAATTTTGAAAAGAGATTTTTAGCAAAAGTTAAGACTATTCTTCTGTTTGTTTTAATATGAAATGAGCTTTCAAGTCAGTATCATTTCATATTTCTCGGTATAAGTTTTCTGCATATATTTGAAATGTGACTTACACATGGTTGCTAATACTATTTTTCCAGGTACCTGAAAATGATGAAATCTTTGTTGTTTGTCTGAAGAGCGTGAAGGGAGGGGCTGAAATCAACAACACAAAAAATTCTGTTTGGATTAATATTAGGAAAAATGACAGTCCCGTGCATTTTGTTCAGCATGCTTATATAGTGCCTGAGGAAGATGAAGTGGTAACAATCCAAGTGGTTCGTGGTAAGGATGTCAGTGGAAAATTAATTGGACCTGATGAAGATGAAGTCTCTGTTAGTTACGCCATCATAACTGGGGATTCAACTGCACATGCACAGCTTAATGTAGACTTCCTAGATCTACAGCCAAATACAACTCTTGTTTTCCCACCTCTAGTTCACGAAATATATTTGAAATTTAAAATCCTTGATGATGCCATACCTGAAATTGCTGAGACTTTTCAGATTATGCTTCTTAAAGACACTTTGCAGGGAGATGCTGTTTTGATTTATCCATCTGTTGTTCATGTCACTATCCAGCCGAATGATAAACCCTATGGAGTGCTGTCAATCCACAGAGTTCTGTTAGCTCAAACTGTTATCGTTGATGAAGACCAAATTTCAAGGTACTACAGATCATAAAATCTAGTATCTAGTCTGTTGAAGAGATTTGTTTGTAATAGTTAAGCATCCTTAGGATATCATTAAAGTAATTATAACATCACTATTAAAATATAATGTAGTAATCACTTAGTGTGTTGTTATTATCAGCTATATCTACAAAGATTTCAAGGAAGTGGAAATGCCTAATTATACAGAAAGTAATTTAATATCAATAAATTATATGTAAATAAGATATAACTATTGAAACACATTATCAGAATAGTGAAAATTCCTTAATCTAAAGGTAGGATCAGTGAAGTTGTGATACTGCTACACACAGATTCAGTGGGAAATAGATTTCTGTCTTACACCTTTGGTGTATATTTGTATTTGCTATCTATAATACCAGTCTCTGATTAAAGGAAAAGAAATGAGTTCAGTATCTCCCATGAAATAGTTACCTTAAACTCAAAACCAATTTCAATATTTGCAGTTTTACAGAGAGATTAAAATCAAAGCTGTCTAAAAATTTTATAGGCAGATGGATACACAATATTGATAATCTCAATAAAAATGTCCACTGCTAATTATTCCTAGTTCATCCCCAAAGGAAAAAATAATGCCTCAAACTATCATACTATGAGAAATTGTGAAAGCATATTTTAAGGTATATAGGGCCCAGCACTTAAGTATTTACCCTTCTTTTTTATACACAGTAAAGAAATAAAAAACCTGCTTTCTAAATGTTCGTAAATTATGACTTCCAGACTTTTTGCTGTAGTTAGGCACTTGTCAGATGCAGGTAACATGACATTTCCATATCATAAATATTAGTAACAATATATTTTTATTACAGAGGCAAACAGTTCATTCAAGATCATTATTTCAATGCTCATGCCTCATAACTGCTCATGAGGTAGAATAGGCAAAAAGTTTTCTGAAATTTGATTTGTATTTCTCAAGACAAATGTAGAACATGCCAAGCTTCTCAGTATCTTTCTTGCTGTAAATCAAGTGAGATCTAACACGTATCTTCAGAGATTTTCCAGAGAGCTCATGACTAAATGCTCAAGTCTTACATATGTGTTATGATTTCACAAACTGTAAACCTTGAGTCACATGTCAGTTGCAAGCAGCTAAGATTTATACTACTTAGGTCAGTGGAAATATTTTAGGGAATTGATAACCATACATGCCAACAGTAATTATGGTTTGTGTATTTTTGTTTTCATTCAAAACCATAGGTTTGAAGGTATCAAAATTGTAAGAAATGGTGGAACACATGGAAATGTTTCTGTTTCCTGGATTATAATCCGAAATAGCAGTGATCCTTCACCTGTGAGTACAGACCTACTTCCAGAGGCAGGGGAGATAGGTTTTGATCAAGGACAGATGCTGGTGACACTTCCTCTGAACATTATTGATGATGATATACCAGAAGAGGCAGAGCCTTATCTTCTGAAACTCCTAGGTCATACAATACAGGGAGGTGCAGAAGTCGGCGACCCATCTGAGGTAAGCTTACTTTTATAATTCTTTTGGAGAAGGTACTAATGAGTAATAAAGACTTTTCCAGTTTTAATAACATTGATTAGTTGATGGATTAGCTGAACAGGTGAAAGGATTTGGTCTTGGGTAAAAATCAAGCAAACTAATCCTTAATAAAATCTTAGTGTATAGAGCCATATCTAAAGTATTTGGCTCAGTATAGTGTACAATGCCAGACGTTTTTACTGAGGTAGCATTCAGTTCAGACTATTCCCAGTGTGCAACAATAGCATTGAATAAATGCTGTCTCAAGTGACTGCCTTCTAACAGAAGACAGGAGAGTTATTGTCACTTGTTCATGTGCTGTTTTAATGATTACTGAAATGTTTTACAGAGTAACAACTTCAAGGGGAAAGGTTGGTGGTTAAGACTGTAACCTCTGAACTATTAAATAAAGGGTGGCTGGAATTGATGACAGTTCTGTGACTCAGTTCCTGCTTTGTCCTTTTCAAAAATAGTTGGAATGAGCGTGGTAAATAAAATGAAATTCTTTACAATCTGAAGCATTTTTAAATTATTCACTTTGGCTGCTGAACCAAAAAAATCAGTTATTCAGAGCTCATTCTGGCACGTGTGATGATGCGTAATGGGAGAGTTGCCAGTGTCAGTGTCATGCTTCTTGTGTAAAAAGAATACTTTGGGGCTGTCAATCTGATTTCTTTCCTGATACCAGTTCACTAAGGAGAAAAATGTATGGTGACAGTCAGGAGATGTTTTTGTGAAGGCATGAAACTATGTTATAGAGTAATGCAGCATGCTGTTTTCTGCTTTGCAGCTTCTATTTTACATTCAGGACAGTGATGATGTTTATGGCCTAATAAAATTCCATCCTCTGGAGAATCAGAAGATTGAAAGTAATCCAAAGGGACGCTTTTTATCCTTGAGTTTTTCACGGGAAAGAGGAACAGTTGGAGATGTGCAGTTGGTTTATACTGCAATGTACATTCCAGCTGGAGCTCTGGATCTTGAGAGAGCAAAAGGTGGCATTCTAAATATGTCTAGAAGAAGTACTCTCATCTTTCCAGAAGGAAAAGCACAAACTACTGTAAATATACCTATACGAAATGATGCATTTCTTCAAAATGGAGCTCATTTTGTAATACAGGTATCTCAGCTGTGTTTTGGGGTGGGTTTTTAGTCCATGTAATATAAAGAATATAAAATAGTAGTGGCTCCTTCCCTTTTAATTTAATGATTCCACCTGATAAAAAAAAAAAAAAATAAAAAAATTATTCGTTCTGTAGCCCAGAAAACTTTAATTTAGATAAAGCTTCCACAAATATGCTATAAAGACCTTTATCTGTAATCATTATTTTTTAATTATACCATTAAAAAATACAGTGTTGTAATAGAATTCAGTTATTAATCATGAAATTTAACAAAATTATATCAATGTTGCAGAGGTTAGTTGTTGCAGAGGTTAGTTACGTTTTCAGGTATGACATTCTGTCTACCCCTTGGCTTTCAATTTAATCAAATTAAGGCTCCTACACCACAGAAGTATGACAGATTTTAGAAATTAAAAGCAAGGAAATATAAATTAAAAATAGTCAAACATATGTTTCATTTTTAATTTATGTGCCACTTTGACCAGGGAATTGAAAAGTTCTTCTAGTTTTCCCTGTATGTGCCCTTTTGGTTTTTTCATCCTCTATTTTTTGTTTGTTTGTTTGTTTTGTTTGTTTTTGTTTGGTTGGGTTTTTGGTTTGTTTATTTATTTGTTTTTCTCTATCTGAGTTTGTAAGAAGGGAGATTTTGTCACTGCTCATAAGACTGGATGGAAAAATTCAAAATTATGCTTTTGGAAGAAAGCAGGTTTTCCACAAAAATGTTTAAAGAAAGATTTTTTAAAATTATGTGATGAGGTTTTTTTTCTTCATTTTTCACTGGAGAAAACCAGATTTTCATACTTGTTAGCAAGTTATTGTTCAGGTATGCTGCTGTGGGTAATTCTGGGCATTGTAGTCAGCAATTTTTTGTACTTATTTTATCATCTGCAGTTTAAAACTACTGAATAATCACTGCTTCCTCTGATTAACTATTGACACTGTCTGGGATCATGAGCCCAGGAGCAATCCTGATATATAGACCAGGGGGTGACTTGGCACAACCAAAACTCAAATCTCAAAGTAATTTCTTAGATTTTTTTAGTCTTTTAATTTTAAGTCAGGTGACTTCAAAATTTTCAAATGGAGATGTTGATATGAAACCATCACATAAAATTTGTTCTTTTTTTCTTTAATTTATAGCCTACCAAAGATATTTTAATTACTTTAAAAGATTTCTTCCCACTACCTCCTTACTGGTACATTCTATTAAAAAAAAAAAAAAAAAAAAAAAAAAAAAAAAGAGAAAAAAAGAGAGAAAAAAAGTATTGCCAGAATCATGTTACTGTTTTAGGTGTACACACATTCTATGTTTATAGCTAGGTAGGGAATATGGTTCTGAAGTATTAGAATAGGTATGTTTTACCATCTTCATGTGATCTGAAAGATCGACAGAAGACTTGAAATATCTAATTCCAAGCTCTTTTCAGGTAATAGATTACAAATAGCATCGCAGTTTGGACCATGGACAAGATGTGTAACACGTACTTCAGTATGCAGACACTTAAACATCCTAATGGGAATTAAAAGAGGGTTGTCATTGGTAGTTCATGCACCAGTGAAATGTTTACAGAAGTATATGCAAATCAGTCATGGAAACATCTGTTATTATGATCCATATAGACAAAAAAAATCTCATAGTGTTATAAAGTGTATTTGAAAGGAATATTAAAACAAGTACTGCCTTCCTTGTTATTTCAGTGGTGCTGGTGGGTTAAGTGAATGGCATTTTCCATTCAAAGATAGAATAAACATTTTTCTATTTCTTCTTAGTATAAATAAACCATCAAAATATGGTAATTTAAAAGGAGACTACAGTTTTGAAATCTTGTACTGATTTTCAATTCTGAATGTAATTCTAACATATTAGTTACTGTAAATAGAGAAGTCTCTATATTTTTTTGAGAGAGGAAAGAAGATTGAATCACTCTTTGGCTTCATGAAAGGGTCTAAATTATTAAGTTTCCAGTGACTTCAGCTGATTTTTATCAATGCATGGCAAAAAACGGAAGTTAGAACAACATCTGCTATGCTTGGCAGATCAATTCATAGATCTAGTAATGAATTGCCCAGTTAAGACAGTGAATTCTCCCTCTACATATATTTAGTTGTGTACATGATTTTTCTGAGACCTATACCATTCTGCTGTGGAAGCTCAATACCATTCACTTCATTGCTTACACAGCTACTTACACATCCTTATAATAGCAATGTTACTGGTAGGAGAAATTTATTCTGGAGGTGTTTTGCTTCTTGCATATGACACATTCCAAGATGTCAGAATAATTCTTTCTTGGTACTCAGGCTTCTTATTTTTCAAGTTTTTCTTACTTTTTCTCACAGCTGGAAAAAGTTGAGCTGCTGAATAGAATTCCTCTTGTGCCACCCGTGAGTCCTAGATTAGGTGAGATTCGAAATATTTCTTTGAGGATTACTCCAGATATTGCAAATGGGGAAATAGGCTTTACTAGCAATCTTCCAATTATTCTTTCTGAGCCAGAAGAATTGCCTGCTACAGTGGTAAGTAAACATTTTTATATTATCCCTTAGTATGGAAAACTTATTTGGAGAAAGCAAATTTTGCTATATGCACTGTAACATTTGAAAATTAATGTGAGAAAAATCCATCCTCTGAGTTTGATCTTATCCCAAATATTCTTGTGCTTTAAAAAACCAAAAGGGCAAAAAATTGCTAGCAAGATTAATGTGTTTGTCATCTGAAAAGAGTGGTGAATTTTGCTTTCTCTGTAAAAATCTAGAACTGGTTAGGTCTTGATGCTCACATGGAGCTAAAGATGCTGCATACAGTTTAATTTCTTGCCCCAGCTGCAAAGGCACTCCTGTAGAGTAGGACTGATTTTGCTCCCAAACTTCATGAAAGTGTCTGTATATTTTATAGTTCACTTACATGTGAATATGTGGTTTGGCTTGCTGGGTCTGTTTTCTAATAAATATGTTTTTTTCTGTTTCTCACTACCCAAAGCATTTTCGAAAGCATTGTTGTCCATATGAATGCTGTAATCTCAGCCAGAGAAACCCTTTATAAAATACCTTTTCTTACATTTTCTCTTTTTCCCCCTTCTTGTTTCAACTGACATCTTCCCTCAAATCCTGAATCAGAGAACGTGCTTTTCATCCTCAGGATAAAACTGTTGATTTCCTTAAGCAGTGTACAGGCTGGAACTATAACAACCAGAGTAAATTAAAGTGGTTACATTTAAAACCTGGGTTGTCTTGATGAGGTGGGCATTGGTTAAGTCAGTCATAGAAGGATTTTTGTGTTTATGAGTGCTAAGTGATTGGTAATATTGAACAGTCTGCCACCCCCACTAAGTATATATAAACATATATGTAAAAGTATATAATGGATAGATGATTAAAAATATAAGATTCAGAATGTATTTTCATTGATATACCATCTTTGATTTCAGATCTTAGACATAGGTATAAGTAAAAAACTCAAGGTGAATATTTTGAGGTTTATATTCAAACAGTAATTTGCAAAGGATTCATTGTTTTTGCATCTAATTTTGCAAGTCACAGCAGACTCAATCTGCTTTACAGGTTCCCATTGCATTGCATCGAGATGGGACTGATGGTCAAGCAACAGTGTTTTGGAGTTTGAGACCCTCTGGTCCTAATCACAAGGCAGTAACACAGGATGATATAAGTCCTTTTAATGGCTCTGTTGTTTTCTTATCTGGACAAAGTGATACTACAATCAACATTACTATTAAAGCTGATGATATACCTGAAATTAATGAAACCGTGTTATTAACTTTGGACAGGTATTGTACCCTAACCTTTATTCATATTATTCACTTTTTCTACTCAATGTATATATAAAAAGTTGGCATGGTATTAATTATGAGATGTTGCCTCCATTGTGTTGGTAAAAGGCGGGAGGAATATTGGGCCCTTGCTTCAGACTGTGTATAAAATCTTCTTTGACTCATGATCAATGTAAGAAATGATGTTGTGCTTATTATCTAGTGACTTGTTTATATTTTGATGAAAATAATGTATGCTACTAAAAATTTTCACTTAGCTTTGATCTTTAGTTATTGATTATAACACTTTTATTTTCAGGAAAATAATGTTTAGTGAGATAATGGAAAAAGCTATAATGAATAGTAACGAAAGCAATACATAACTGTGTTTTTCTCAGAAGAGGTTTATAGTCAGGATATTGTTGCAGAATTAGATACTGCCATCACAACTACTGGCTTCCAAAATAGGCCAGTGTGACTATTATGACGTGCCTCAGCTACAAAGGGACAAAGAATGTTTCTGAAGCACAGTGTTGTGGTCTCCCTTCTGTGTGACATAAGGATTGCAGGATAATTAAGGCTGTGAGAGGCCTCAGGAGATAATATTATCTGCATGTGAACAGTACTCAGAATACTTGAATTATTTCATATCCAGGATCCTTTTTGTTTTACTAGCAGGAGAATCTTGGCTATTTCTTCAGTCCTTATTCAAAAAATTCAGATGTATACATAGTTTAGAAAAATACCCCCTAATAATCTAAGGTATATTTTTTCCATTTATTTTTCTGGAAACATGCTAAGAGAGGTCTGTCAGCTGCAATGTCTGCATTGAACATCTACTACTTACACAGTCCTTACCTTATGCAGAAGTGTCCTTGTTGTATATAGGAAGACTAGCTCATGGGAACTTTTAACACTAGATACTCATGTAGGTTACATACTAGCAAACCAAAAAGCAACTCAAGCTGCTGCTGCTCCTTTTGAGCATTGTTCTATCACACAGGGAAGATGCTTTTCCAGTGCAGGATTGGTCTGCTTCTGTAGAAGCTGGCTGGTGAATGCATCTAGTGCCCAATGAATTATTTCATTCTATCTTGGATACTCACTGTGTTGAAAAGATGGTCCTGTTCAAGACAAAAACAAATGGAGACTATTGGAAGCAGTTCTGTTTTTCTTCCTGTGGATGAAAATGGTTTGCCTGAAAGTTTATTAGAGTCTGTGACACAGACAAAAAAACTAAGATTAGAAATAATGATTGAAGTTGTGTAAAGTGGCAAAAATGATAAAGTGGAAGGATAGGAGAGACAAGTAAGTACATAGAGAAAGTGGACAGCATAAGATTAACTTTTCAATATTGGGCAGCTCTGCAGTGTGCAGAGACAGCTTTCTACCACTTACTCTGACTAGTAATCCCATGCCTTGAAAATTAGGACTAAAAGGGATTGAATTAGCAGCTGAACAAATGGAACTGCTGTTCTACTTTTGTTACGTATAGTGAAAGTAGCAGGCTCTATTGATCATGAAGTGGCTGGTAAAAATTTTGCCAGCTGTAAGCTGCTTTCCCACACTTGGCAAGGTCAGAGAGTGAAGTAAGGAACAGGTAGTCTAGCCAGGAAAAATAAGTAAATAAGGAGCAGATAAAATCTGAACATTTCTCTAGACCTGAATAGTGTCCCTCAAGGCTACACGTGAAATTCGGACACTTTAATGTGAGCAGGAGCCAAGAATGAAATATCTGCAAAGATCATCCTTTCAATACTGGAGATGATTCTTCAAAACAAGGGTGAATGATACTGGCAGGGTGATGCATATAAGCTTTTGGTATTGGCTCCTACATAGTTTGTGTCTTCTAGATGAACAGAAGATTTCAGTTTTCAAGACTGGCAGCCAGCACTTCACAGCAGTAGATGCAACAAAGATGCACTGTGCTGTGGATGTGCTTGCACTGTTTGATAAACTGTAGCATAAGTCAGTAGAAAAACAGAGCATGTACGAACTTTAATGAAACCATAGACATAAAAATATGTTCATAAGCACTCCATTTATTGCAACTAGTAATGGCATGGGTAAAATAATACAATAATTAGTTCTAACAAGGATGTATTATTTACAACTCAGTGATGTTGTTAAGGCAATTTATTTTTAAATGAGCTTTGATTGTACCCATAATTATAAAAAAAACCTTCCAAGCCATTAAAAATAGTGTTTTCCTTCCTTGCTCTATGGCCACCATCTGTAGCCCTGGATATTAAAAATAATTATGAACGTTGTCCAAAAAATGGAGGCCAATATATATCATGAAGAATATGCTTACCTAGAAGACAGATGAGTCATAAAGAAGCAAGATAATCCTGTACCTGCTGAAGCTTCTTCATATTTTCTTTCTTTAGGACCAGCTTCAGTTTGGATGCCTGCCCATATCTTAATAAGCCCAAATTGAAACTAAACATAAATGAAGCCAGAGGTCTGTAGTGAAATCTAATTGTTGTTTGTAACTTTTGCACAAGAAATTCTGCTATTGGCAGCTGTCATTCTCCCAGTGCAGATACACAGCTATAAATTTGGCAATTGTCACGGCTGAAGGACCAGGACATGGCACATAGATTGTGCTTGTTCTCTTAAATGAATGGAGCTGAGAGTGAAAAACCTCTGGACTTTAGGTTATGGGAGCAGCAATACACAAATTAATTTCTTTTTAGTTTGGGAAAATTAAAATCCAGAAACAGCTGAGTGTTTAAATAGTTTATGTTCAGAATCTTTTGGTCATGACTCCCGTAAATTAGGATGCCAGAAAAGATCCATGTATATATGTATGTATCTAATTTATTTATACGACATATGCTCAGTGAAGCAAAACTGATGCAATGTAATGTGGAAAATGTTATAGTACTAGTGATTTCTGTGATGTGATACAGGCTGAGGTACTTAACACCTTCTTTGCCTCAGTAATTATTATTGCCAATTATTCTCATGGCAACTGGTCCCTTGGATGGGCAAACAAAGTTGAAGAGTCTCCTGAAATCCTGGAGGAAGTAGTGATTGGCAAAGCTATTTAGGTGGTCACAAGTCTACGGGACTGGATAGGATCCATCCTAGGGTAATGAGGGAGCTGTTGTAAGAGGTCTCTAAGCTGCTCTCCATCATTTATCATCAGTGGTGGCTAACTGAGGAGGTCACAGACAATTGGAGGTTGGCCAGTATGATGCTCATTCACAGGAAGGGCTGGAAGGAGGATCTGGGGAACTCAGACCAGTCAGCCTGACCTTGGTGCCTGGCAAGGTTATGGAACAGATCATCTTCAGTGCAGTCATAGGACACCTACAGGATGGCTGGGGTTTCAGACCCAGCCAGCATAGGTTTAGGAGGGGCAGGTCCTGCCTGAACAATCTGATCTCCTTTTATGATCAGATGACATATGAGGGATTGGGGGAAGGCTGTGGATATTCTCACTCTGGACTTCAGCAAAGTTATTGTGTCCCACAGTAAACTCCTGGAAAAGCTGGCAGCCCACGGCTTGGACAGGAGCACTCTTTGCTGGGTTAAGAACTGTCTGGATGGCCAGACCCAGAGAGTGGTGGTGAATGGTGCTGCATCCAGCTGGTGGCCAGTCACTAGTGATGTTCTCTAGGGATCAGTGCTGGGCCGAGAACTGTTTAATATCTTTATTGACGATCTGGATGAGGGGTTTACTCTTAGTAAATTTCTCAATGATACCAAGTTATATGTGATTGTTGATCTGATGGAGGGTAGGAGTGTAGTAATTATGTTGAGACAGACTGGACTGACACCATCATCAGTCCTTTATTAAAAACTTTCCATGCCTTCTCTTAGTGGACTTCTCTTAAGCAACTCTGTCTCCTTTCCTCATAGGCAGCTCCACACAGCACTGACTCCTTCTCTCTTCTGCATGACTGGCTAGCCCCAAGCTGTCCCTTACCCAGCCACCTGACCCTGTCTGTCCCTCACACAGTATCTTGCCTTGCCTAACGGTATGTCCCTTACCTCCTCACAGCACAGCCAGCAGACTGCATC